TGAGATATAAACATGTGAAAAAATAATCAAAATGTTTCTTGTTATAATATTCAGAGCACATTAATAAATACATAAATTGTAGCACGTGCAAGTATAATATGAATAGAAAAGGTGAAAACAACTGATTAGAAGAATAGAATCTAACGATTTTTTTTCATTTCTTTTTTTCTGCCGTCATTTTGTTCTTTTCTCTCGCATATTTTTTTTCTTTCTCTTCTTGTTCATCATCTGACTGTAACATGAAAGAAGGCGTATACGTTATATTGACAAGCAAAGGGTATTGCTAAAAGACGCGAACACCCACGAACACCCCCAAATTGAAATCTGAGTTAGCCAATCGATAGAGCTCGTCGAGCTGAGTATAGCAATGCCTAACGAACACCCAAAAAAGTTTTTATAGTTTCGCTTTTTAAGCACACATTTTAAATGAACACCCACGAACATCCACGAACACCCAAATAACACCCACGAACACAAAGAAGAAAGGGTAAGAACACCCAAAAAAGTGCGCCAAATTCATCTTCAGGTTATCCTGGACTAAGGGTGAGATGTGGGTGAGCCTACCATCGACTGGCTATCTCAGATTTTAATTTGGGGTGTCCGCGTCTTTTAGCAATACCCAAAAGCAAATGTCATGTGTTATTTACAGAAGTTGATAAGAAAGAGGAAAGAAACTGCGAGCTTTTCTCATGAAACAGCATTCAATTTATGGAAGGCACTAAGAGCGTATCTTTCTTGTTTTTCCGTTAATTGTCTTGATTTTGGTGGTATGGAACCGTCCGTAAATTGAATACTGTTTCATGAAAAAAGCTCGTACTGAGCTCGGAGACGTCTCATTTTGCCCAGAAATCTTTGCTCTATTTGAGTAAACTAATAGTAAAAAGTTCAATCATATTAGCACACAAGAAACTCAATAAATACAGAAGGAGTAAGTTTTTTGGGGCTACTCTGTAAAACTCTTACCAAAGACCAATCACTTTCCTGCGTAAGTTTCTATAAGAATTTGACAAGAATTTAATCAGACTCTTACATGAATTCAGTTGTGTACTTATAAATTTCTTCTAAGATTTTTGACTAAGGCTTATATAAGAATCGAAACTTAAGATGAATGATTGATTACTTTTTTTTTTCTTAATTCATTTTCATCGCAGCATAAAAAAATTGCAACAACACATCAGCATATTGCATCTTGATTAGAATTGTCATCGGCATGTCCGTTGTCATACTGATTCTCTTTACGATATACATCCTAGCCCTTGTTCTATTATTCAAAGGAAATCAAAGGAGCGAAACTGATGGAACAGATGTCTTGCTGTGTCAGAAAAGAATATAGTCAACTGTTATGCTGTTCAAATAATCTTCAGAGGTCATCAGTGACTTTATCTCATTGCAACTGACTTTTCTGTTCGTCCTTCGCTTTATCAGAATATACACAAAGATTGAAAGGAGAACGGTAAATCCAAATTTAAGAAATTTTGTTTGCTAATAAACAACAATAAAAACGGTAAATCAATTCCACTTACTGCCTGTTTGAAACGCCACTGAACGGCACGGCACTAAGAAAAGGAATAGAAGGAAAAGTAAACAAGCATCCTAATGTAACACACTTAAATTCAAGCAACTGTGAGTTGATCGTATAAGGAAATTTTAAATCGTCGTAATGAGACATTAAAATATGATGACCAATTCATTTTAGATTTAAAAACCCGTGTGTCAAACTGTGCTGTCTTCTCTTCACGCAAACAGGAGAAAAATACCATCTTGTTAACGGAAGGCTCACAAGAATCAGACAATCTGATAAATATTTCAAAGGACATGGGCGGATTTTCAACTTCACTAGCCAAGCCCCAAATCAACTACAACCCGATGCCTGATCCATTATCTGTCTATGTACCTTTGGAATCCCTAACCGAGCAGAGCGTCTACTCTGTTGTTGCGACTGTGCTTCAATTACAAAAATCAGATTGGCAGCATCAAAGCGGTACCCTACTCGCTTTTTTGCTTGCACTCAACAAAAGACTTAAAAATATTGACGAAAATAAGGACACGAATAACAAATTTTTTGACGAACACACTATTCGACATGCTGCAGAAGTTCGCCAATGGCTTGTACAGAAAGATCATTCTGGCAAAGTCACGCAACTAGATTGGAATGAACTTCAACGAGCTTACGAGAAGATGACCATGAAGGAGGACGACGGAGTGGCGAAGTATTATTGCGTCAGTAACGTAAAACCTTACTACGAGCTGACTATGAATGCGGTAAGTTTCTCTTTACATCTGTAGACAGCACTGTGTATCTAAGAAATTTGGATTGAATATTACAAGAGAGAGAGAAGCAGTCTTTGATCGTATGAGTTGCGGACAGCAAAGGTAACACATAGCGGTCCTTCGTGTCGGTTGTTCCAGACAGACCAGTTAATCGTCGAGATGGTAAATACCAGATTTTAAACGAACATTAGGAATTTTGCACGTGTTCTGAAAAAACTTGTTTCTGCAAATTTTAACAATATCACGTGAAAGGCAGCTAGAAGGGCTTTCATACCTCGAAAACTTTCCAAAGAAGTTCAGGCAGAACGGCGAAAGCACATTCACAGTTTCGAACAGGTGTGCAACTTTCTATTCGTGACGTGTTTTTAATTTTGATAAAATTATGAATGCGTCTACACATGGAAGGATCAAGCACATTTTTTTCGAAGAAACCAGGTATAACTAAAGAAGAAATCAACTCACACGCATATCAATCTATTCATTCACTAGCAGGGTGGAGAGAGTCGAAAGCTGACGTCGTCGTTTCTATGAAAGTGCAGTATAACCCTTAAGAAATGAGTGAACTAAAATACTTGACTCTCTTCCTATTAATAAAATGTTTTGTAAAAAAGACAAGAGCTATCCAGGTAGTTATGTTCATCTGAGCACTTTAGACAAAAGATCCCGTCAAACACATAAACGGAATGAATGGCGATGTTTTTCTAAACATGTTACGTTATTAGGGTTATATGTTCACTATAAAAGACGATAGACATGCATAGTCAATTTGTTTATTGCAAGTAAGATATGCAATCAAACACAGGGTTCATCTGATGTTGTTCTGTAAGAGTGTAATTTATGACCAGATGCATCATTTTTTGCTTCTCAAATTTTAGATAAGCAATTGGTATCTATTTTTTCCTAGTTACAAGAGGCATGGCCGATTACTCATCGCTTCAGTCAATCCTTCTAAGTGCAATCCAATTTTTCCTGTTAACACTATAGAAAACGTTCAGTTTTCTCGAAACCTTTGTCGAAGGTTGTTCTATAACTTTCAATACATTTTTGAGGTTGATATATCTAGCACTTAGGATAGTTTTCACTCACCTTTCAATGTGTACGAAAGTGATCTCGCCCGAGATTTTAGAGCTAGACAATTGTGATTGACTCTGTCAGATATCTCTAACGTACTCAATTCGTTTTAGTAAATTCAACCCAAATAGCTTCAGCCCAGTCAAATGAGTCTAAAAAACTATATCTTTCGCTTTCATTAAAATAAACGAATTTGGTTTATTTCCAAAAATCATACTTTTCAAGACTTTCCATGTAGAAGATGATTTCCAGCATCAAAAACTACTGTTTTTCTTTTTGATGTAACTACTCGTAATTTTACTTTATAAAAAGACAGTGTAGAAAGAGTTTTTCAGTAGTTCTCCAAAAACTTCATTTACATTAAAATCAGCCCACGAGGACTTTATCCGATATATCGCAGTGTGACGAACTGGCGCTATAAAAGGTCCTATCATGATGTAACATATCCAAGTAATTGCGATGCATGCTCTTATCGTTATCACGATAAGATTAATATATGCTGCGATAAGAGCACGAAGATTAATCCATGGGTATGTTACACGCCGATACGACATTTTTTAGTGTCAGCCCGTCCACACTGCGATTATCGAAATAAACCAACTGAAAAAGTCTTCACGTGATATACGATCCTTTTTGATACAGTGACATTACCGCGAACCACCATTATGTTGACATAGACCATAGATGGCAAATATTTCATAGTACACAATGGGTATTGATAACTAAACTACTTTTCGAACTCTCTCTCACACTGTCCTAACCCTCTCACCTCCCACCACACACTGCTCGACATACCCAATGTGTACTATGAAAAATTTGCTGCCTGTGGTGTGTGTCGACACAGTCCATGAGCGAATGTCGAGATAGACCACTGGAAAAATTTTCAGTCCTTAATATAGCTGGGGAAACGATTCCTATGACCTATGTCGACATAATGACAATTTGCGATAATGTTGTTCGCGGTACTGTCGTGTCACGCCCTTTCGACCTAATATCCTTTATATTAATAATGTTTATTCAGCGACATGCCGATATCAAGCGATCTCGCGAATACATGGCTCGTTTTCGCAACAATGGCTGGGAACCTCATGAGCTTAAAGTCTACTGGAATGCAGAACAGCTGGAAATTCTCTGTCCGAAAGATTGTCAGCTGGATGAAGACGATGGAAGACTGCCACCACATGACCCATCGGATGCTGATGTCGTACAAGCTCTCCGCCAGTGTCCTGTGTCAAAACGAAATCATGCTGGCAACATCACTTATGTCAATAAAGGAATTGAAAAAGCTGTTTTCGATGTACCCGAAGGTGCTCAAATCATTCTTCTTAATTTCGCTGTAAGTTTTTTTCTCAAGTATCGATCTCGATTATATCTTAATATTTTAGAATGAACAATCACCTGGAGGTGGCTATTTGAGCCATGCATGTAAGTACTTTATTTTTTAAACAGAATGACACACGACTGCCTGCGTTTGCGCTTTTCTAACACATGGTAACGGTTATTCCGTGATAATTTTCTACGTGAATTAAAATGTTGAGAGAACGTTTTCCGAGCGAAATAATGTTCTCACAATCTATTCGACGGATTTCATACATTTTTTCTTGTACAGGGGCACAAGAAGAAATTATTCTGTACAATTCGGATGGTTATCGAGCGTTGCTTGATCTTAAATATGGACGAATGGGTGGCGACTACGCTATACCTGAATTCGGGTTGGCTTATGCGCGCGACATCTGCTTCGTCGATAAAGATACTAATGAATGCCGTCAAGCCGACATGTTGATTTCTGCATGCTACTGCCTTTTCTCACGTCAACTTTATGACAATCCGAAGACCGAGTCTGAGGTAAATACTTGGACAAATCAGAAGCAGTGAAAATCTTGTTTGACACAAAGCTCAGCGGTGTTACAGTAGTTTAATGGATTCGTCGTTTAATATTTCGCGAGACCAAAACTCAAGTCTTCTGAAATTAAATTTTCACAACGATTCGAAATGGTCGTGTTATCGCTCCGGCGAAAAGATCAGATTCCGAGAGCCCTAAAGCCAGCTGTTTAATTCTACTAAAAGATCTCAGTAATGTACTTTATTATGAAAAGTACAGATCGCTGTCATCTGAGGAATGGCTACGTAGTCAGAAGTTTAAGGAGAGAACCAATTTATTTGGATAGTTTCGATAACATGTCAATGACACGTGTTCTGAAAATTTCACCACTTAAAACAATTATTTGTTGTAAAGTAGGCTAGCCAGAATGGTCCATATAATTGCATACACGATGAATATTGTGAATATGAGACATTGATTGAAGAGGGTAAACCGTTTTTAATTTACTTAATAAGCTCTTGTTTCGTCGAATTGCATAAAAACAGGATGGTTCTTTTATTATCAATGACAGACGACATCTAGATAGATAAAAAGTTTGATACTGGACGGATAGAAAAAGCAATAAAGTCACTCTTGATCATTTTAGTGGACAACAAATAATGTAGCCAAGTTTCGTGCATTCATGGCGGCAGCTGTTGCTAATACGAAGGGTGATGGATCAAATACCTATCTTTTACTTGGGCCAATAGGCACTGGCGCTTTTGGAAACGAGGTTAATAAGATTGGATCCATCTTTCGTAAAGTACTCACATCGAAGATGATGGGCTCATGCGACTCGGTTCGCAATGCTTTCGGCAATATTTGGTTTGTTTCCACAGATGCGTGGAAAAATGACGTGTTCAAAAAAATCTTGGCTGACGACGAAATCGCTGAAGTTGAATGAAACTCTGTGCATTTTTTTATGTTCTTGTCTTCTATTTAAACATGATAGAAAAATGCTTCCAGCACAACCACGGTAGACGCCATCGTATTTCGTCGTAAACAGCTCGTATTTTGCACTACAGTATCCATCATCATAAACTGTAGTATACGGCCATTTACCGCTGTAGTAATCATCGTCCTGCGATGAAGCCGATCAAAACAGATATCGCTTACAGACCGCTTTACGATAAATGAGGAAAAAAGGGTATCATTACGGCCATACGTATTTTCTCTGTATCAGTCTCGTAGAACAGCTCATATTTCGCTCTACAATTTTTATCGCGCGTAAACTCATTTCTGAAGGCATGTAATATCATAGAACGAATATTAGTATTACTGTAAAACTTAAAGAAATTATATAAAATAAAAAATTAATATTCGTGCTGAATTCAATAATACGGATTGATTCTTATGAACTTTCATTATAAATATATAACCCTTGTCGAATTATGTCAATATATGTTACTTTATAGGCACAGCGATTGAAAAACTTCAGTCGTTCTACAGGATATAAGCAGAGACTGCACAGTTTACTTTTGCAGTTTTCTGTAAGGGTGAAATGTGTATTTTTCTGCTTGTTATCAATAGAAGAATTGTTGTTGTGTTTAATAAACTAATATCACCTTACGTACGTTTTAACGTACGCAGTAAAAGTCTTATTATTTTAATATCACCTAATTCACCACAATCATATTCTAATATTGATAATGGTTCATCACAACATAATAATGCACGAGTTAAACAAATTTTTTGCACTTTTAAAATATCAACAATAGTATCATTTGTGCTCTCATGTATATAAACAATAAATTGTCTCCAGAAACTGACAAAGAATCTAAGTTAGGTATTCTGACAATTTCGATAAGTGCGAAAAGAGACAGAACATGAAAAGAATGTGACTATTTTAGACGGAAAAAGACATCTTTTCTTTTTGAAAGAACGCACCTGAATATAGAAACATTTTTGAAGTAGCAAAACAATACAAGCAGAAACATGTGCCGATAGTTTAAAGTTATCAAACTAATACACAATAATAGGTTAAAGTATAATATTAAATAATGAGAAGCAATTGACTTCTGTGGGTCCTAGTTTACTTTGTTTCCCGACGTCCCGTTTTAATATTTCCAGAAACGATTGTATCAGTATGGATCCCGGATTCGGTTTTTACTCTTGATTGTATTGTTTTCTTTATTCTACAATATCGAATTTTCAATTGAAGAGATAGCCGTTTCTACTTTACGATTCTACACGCTAGACTTATATTGACAAGTTAATTAAAAGTCAGATTTTTTTATAACGATGACCCCTGTTATTCTTTATAATTGGAAGGAAAACGAACACATCATTAATTTCGTCATTAGATGAAAAAACAGTAACAAATAGTTACGGATCAGTAGATGATTTCTGTGACATTATGTCATCGATAACAATAATTTTGTCCACGAGTAAAATGAATATCAATTTTTTAAAACTGTGCGAGAAATCTTTTGATGTTCAAGATGGAAAAGAAATCTAATTGAGTAAACCAAATCAACGTGGTTATTATGCACCTATTGAATACAAATGTTCGAAAAATCAAATGGTATTGAGTCATGTGTCGGCACTTAGGCCAACTGATCACTTTCGTTAAAACCTTTTAGCGATTATTTGTAATAACCATTATTCAAAAGTTTAATTTCGTGCCAATAATTTAAATATAATTTGATTAAATTCAAGTTAATTAATGGACAGTTTTGTCCAATGTTTTGAAGATTTCATACTGTGGCGAGGTTTGCGAAGAAAACGTTAATGCAGAAAATCGATTCAGCGAATTGAATGGATTATTTTCCAAAACTTTTAACCATTCGTTTGTTGTCATAATTCTAAATTTTAACCCCGCATCGTGTAAATAATTTAATAATTGTAACCAACTAATTGTATTTGGATTTAATATATGATGAACATAATCATGATCATTTGTTAATAAACGAGAATTTAATGCTGTTTCAACAATTGATTCACTAGCATAATCAATTGGTATCCAATCAACTGTTTTTCTTCTATCATCTGATGACATTACACCCAATTCGCCACCGCCACAACAAATTAATAACGGAATTAATTCATTTTTATTCCAAATACCATGTGTTGTATCACCGTATATCTGACCCAAACGATAGATATCAACCGAGATACCTGTGAATAAATACCCTCATGATAGATAGGTCTGACAAGTTTCTGGCACCAAGTTTCGCATAGCGCAATCTGTTGTGTGTAAAAAATAAAGGAACCATTCTACTTCAGGCGGCATTTCTCGCATTGAAATTTTGAGAACGGACTGCAACTAATAATTCAATGGCAGGCTCTAGCAGAGTTTTTAAAACATAGAACCAGAACTTAAAATTACTATTGGACGATGACTTTGCTTTACAAAACTCTTCGAATTTTTCTTGTAAATTAGACGTTGATATACCCAAGCAAAAATACTTTACGGAGCGAATCTAGCTCCATCGACTACATAACCGGGCGGTTATTCACTTGTTGGATCTAGGTAAATGTACCTTTTTACCTAGTTAGCTAGCTTCAACCTAGTAATGAATCCAGCACTAGATTATCATAGTCGAGTAGGAGTGGGAGGTTGACAGCTGGGTTAACCGACCGGTTAAGCTAGCTTTGAAGACGAAATATATTTAATAAGAGGGTGGTTATCAAGTAGGTTAACCGGGTGGTTGGAGTGTCCCATTAATCGGACGGTTAAAGCGCCCGGTTAACCGGGAACTTGAAGCCAGCTTAAAAAATAAGAAAAAAAGAATATGTGCCAAACGAGAATCGAACTCGCCGACTACGGCGTACTATCAGAATTGAGATTGGAAGTAACCCGATGTTTTAACCAACTAAGCTACCAGACATACATATAGTAGTTGATAAGTGCTGAAATCATTGAACATTAAAACGATTAAGAGCCAATAATTTGATTAGAATATTCTTTTTTAAATTAACAGCAGTCATAGACTAAACTAAAATCTATTTTATTAAAAAAGATCTGACGTTTCGACTCTTCATAGAGTCATTTTCAAAGAATATTACAGAACATTACTGTACTTTACGCATGAAATGTTGTGAAAAGGAAAAAGAATTTTGTCTGTATATATTGTGTGTTACTTGTAGACAATCAGTCAGTAGTTTAACCAATTTTCCACAATTGAGAATTAAGACAAAGGTGGATAAAGCGTCATCAGCCCCAGCTAGATCGAGTGGATCCCGGCTAGAAGAAGCAGCAGTAGCAGCAACCAACAACAGTACGAACAATTTTAACACACCAATACTCTTTTCTATTTTCTACGCCGGTTTTGACAGTATAGTAATACTTGTTCAATTGGTCTGTGAAAATGGTTCTACAAATGCAACGTCTGTCTGTCCGGATTTTCAGTCATTTGTTGTTATCTTTTATTCATCGACTACAAATGAAACCACTGCACTATTAATTCCACGTTCAATTGCCAATTGTGAATTATATTCAGATGCAACAGATTCACATATTATAAATGACTGTCCCGTATTTCAGTTAGATACATCGAATATTCTATGTCGTTTTTCTCTGACTTTACCGAGTGCTTATGTACCATATTTAATTAGTATTCGCACACAGTTTACAGACGGTACACAAAGTAATGATACAACATATACATCATTAGTTAAGAGTGATTTAATACTTACACCAGAACTGTTGAATAAGCTGTACAATGTTGATCATGAGAATACTTATCATAAATTTAATAGACAAGCAACAAATCTATTATACTATTTCAACGACTATTTTAGTCCAACTGATTTCGAATTATTTTCAGACATCTATGGTAAGAATATTACAAATAATGTTCTCGGTAACATCTACGGTTTTAATGATCCAACAAATCCGGGTAGTGAAACACAACTTGATATGGAATATTTAAGTTCAATGAGTAGTGGGGTAGCGACGGATTATATCAATAGTCAGCAAATTACAGAGGCGGGTATAACATTCTTTGCTGGTATTGTGCTTCAAGTGCTGCACAATACGATACATTTTATGGAATATGTAATTCAACTTTTCCGCAATGCATCTTGCATCATCACCTTACGTTACAGCTGTTGGTGCTACAACTTTTCAATTATCATCTTTGGATTGTCGTCCAAACAGTTTACAAATCTTTGTTCAACAGAAATTGCACAATCAACATCAAATGTTACAGGGTCGTTAATAACCTCTGGTGGCGGGTTTTCTATTTATTCTGCAAGATCTGATTATCAGAACCAAGCTGTAGAGCTCTACAGCTACAGGTGTGTTAAAATTGTTCGTACTGTTGTTGGTTGCTGCTACTGCTGCTTCTTCTAGCCGGTGAAATGTAGCTGATCAGAAGTTGTAGAAAGCTTTGATTCGAGACACCAATTCCGGGTTATTTTGATAACTTTATTATATAAACTTATAGAATGATCAACATACTGTTAAAATGAAGTGCAAACGCTAAAAACCAACGTGCCGATTAAATAACATATGTCAGTATATATAGTGCGAGTTAGACAAAAGAAGAGTGAAAGAGAGAGAGATAAAAACTGTACACAAAGATGAATTGTATAACAAAAAGGAGTAGTATCACACCATACATAAGTGACTGACTAATGGAAAGAAATCAAGAATAAAAAAAGACAATGACATGCGACGAGAAAGTGACTGTATAATACAGAGTTCTACGGAGTACAAATGTCTATCTAACATTCGTTTCCCGGTGATGAAGGACTGACGTCCTCGTCAGTAACTGACTAGTAGAAACAATTAGGAAGGAATTAAATCGCAGAAAAATTTGACCGTATTTAGATAAAACTATAAAAGCTTCTTTTCTTGTAGTCGAAAGTAACTTTGCGTTGTCTTTAGCTGCTGATGCAGGCGCCGATGGACTTTTACTGTTGATCCGGAATGCCATTATGTAACAGGAATACGGTAGTCGTTGTGTTTGTTGTGTGAATATCTGGAACCGAACTCCGTTAAAATTGAGCACCTAACACCGACATAGTTTTTGTACATGAGCTACATCTTGTTGTTTTGTTAATATATTTTCAATAACGTAATTCAATCGTCCTTGTTGCTTAATAATCCGCCATGGTCCGTTCCATTTCTCATCTAATTTTGCTGATCTCCCCGGCTTTCTACCCATCACTTTCTTCATCACTAGTTGTCCGATATTAAACTTGATATCACTTCTTCCTTGATTATAATATTGTTGATATTGTCGTTGCCGTCGATAAATATTTGTTTGTGCATCTTGTCGAACTTGTTTTAAATACCTGTCAACTTGTACAGCATAATCCAATGC